TACATGAACTTTATTACAACGGTTCATGGTCCCATCTCTTATTTAAAGGACCTCTGACCATTCATACTCTCTTCTAATTATTTCTAGACATTTCCAGAGACTCTCTCACAAGTGTTTATTAACAAATCCTGACAGCTACCACAAAATGCTTGCTCTTTATTTACACTTACCCAGAGTCTCGAATGAGGTCTGCCATGGTTTTGCATCTCAGGGTCCCAACAATGAGCTGTTACCCTCCAGGGTATAGGAAGAAGTTGAGGTCTTGTCCATCCCTTCTTTATGTGACCCTCATTGCACCCCAGTGTCTCATGGTATTTCATGAGAATAGCGCTTTCCATTTCTGTTTGTAGCCACTTTTTCCTCAGGACTCATATGTGAATCTCTGCAGAAGTAATTTCCTTTTTTCATTGACCCCCAGGAGTTATACAGTCAGCCCTTTTGACACAAGATTTATATTTTACTTTAAACTTTTTCTATGTAAAGATGCTTTTTTGTAAGTGTGGGAAATGAAAAAAATATGAAAATAATTGGAACAGGAAACAGAAAATCTCGAGGATCCAATTAATGCTCCCCAAAGAAAATGTTAATCTTATATGGTCATTTGAAAGTTTGAGTTACAACTTGAAAATGATTCCTGGTGAATAAGAAAACTATGTGACAAAGGCTTAATCATCATATTTTCTTTAGATGTAAAATTACTCAAACACAGGGCTATATTCTTGAGGCTAAAGGACAGAGAGCAGTGGTGTTAGTTGGATATAAAAACTGACTCTCTGGAGGAAGGACAAAATTAACAATAGGAACAGAAAAGACAAGATGGTGCTGCTAGTGATTATCACTGAATTCTCTCTATTGCCAATACTACGGAGGGCACTATCAGAGGGAAAGCAGGCTAGGCAGGCACCAGAGATAGGGGTTTATGGAAGTGAGAAGTAAATGAAGAGAGTAGTGCTTGGGCAGCCAGGGAGGTTTGGTTTGGGTTGGTGATGAGGATGTCTCTGGATGGGATGGTTGTGGTTGTCTAGATCAGCAATGACAAAAGTAGTTGTTGAGCACTAAGAACACTTGCTCTGTCTGTGGGGTTGACCTGTGGCCTAGCCCTGTCACTTGTGGCAGAATAGGTGGAGTGGAAAAGGTGAACATTCTACATGTGAGCGTCCCTCTTAGATGTTAGGAGGTTCTGTTTGACCTGCTGTGGGTTGGTTGTAGTGCTTCTGGTGAGGGTACATTATCTCCATACTCATGAAGATCATAGTTTGCCGTTAGGATTTCTTCTCTCTCTAGTTTCACTGTTAGACAATCTTGTTTCTCCTTATCCTAGTTTCTGCTTCATGACAGCTCTGCTTTTAAGGCTAAAACCTGACTGAATGTGCATTTGCCTCAGGCAAGGCTGACACCTTGACATTTAGAGCAGTTTCTAAAAACAGCAATTGTCATTTAATGCATTTTTTTATCTTTCTAAAATGCTAAACTTTATTTTATAAGCATCACTTTCACCTTTTCTCTTTTTTAATTTATTTTTTACATCATTGTTCATTTTTTAACAATATTTGCTTCCCCCCACCCCCACCTTGATCATTGTAGAAATGTAGGACTTTAGCTCTACTGAACAGAAAGAGCCTGAAGTTTATCTTGGTGATCATCATCTTTTTGATTCCCTGTAGTTTACAGTTCATTAGTCCAATAGTTATTTATTGGTTACCCGCCTGTGTACCAAGCATTGTATTAGATGCTGGGGATATAGAGAGGGACAAGACAGAAGTAGCTCCTTCTCTAATGGAACTTAAGGACAGAACAGCATGGGATTCCATCAGAGCAACCCCTAACCTTGTAGGGTCAGGGAAGTTTGCTTGGGGCCAGTGACATATGAGCTGAGACCTGAAGACTGGGAAGAGGCACCCAGAAAAAGTGAGGGTGAGGATCTGAGGTCAGGGAAACCAAGTGACTTATTAAGGGGAGAGCCAGGATTTTGTTCAAACCCTCAAACTTTCAGTTCCTTACTCATTCATGGAGCACATGTTGCATTTATCTTAAGCAGTAGAATTACAGAGAAATAACACCTTCCTTTAACAATTCCATGGCTTAATAGAGAGATGAGTACATAAATAATGGCAATGTGGTAAGTGCTGTGACAGCTGCAAGTGCGGGCAATCAGTGATGCGTCCATGGGTGACAATTTCCTCAGGCTAGGGCAAAGGAGAATCAGAAACAGTTTTTCTGAGGAGGTGATTTTGGAGGTGGCCACTATATAAATAGCCTGGCGCTAGCATTTCAGGCAGAAAGAGTAGCCTGTTGAGAGGACTGGAGCACTCAATCTGGTGATATATTTGAGGAACTGAGTCATTTGTTATGGCAGGAGCATGTGGCGGGGGAGGGGGGGCGGAGGGAATGGGATCAAGAAATGGAGCTGGAGAGATAGGCAGGAGCCACATATTAGGATTTCCAGTTCATTATTAAAAACTTAGAAATTATCCTTGAGGCCATAGGAGCCAGTAGATGACTTAAGTTGCGAATAAGCAGATTTATATCCCTAAAAAGTCTGCCTTATCAATGAAATGGAGAATATTTAGAGAAGGGGACGATTAGAGGCAGGGAGACTAGGAGAGCCACAAAATGAATCCTGGTGTTTGTGGTTAACTGAGTCACTGAAGTGGCGATGAAGGAAGTGGGGGGTTGTGAGGAATACTTAAGGGTGGGATTTAGGTGACCAATTTGTCTCGTTTTGCCTGGCGTCTACCTGGTTTCAGCACTGAGGTACGAAATGCTAGGAACACCTTTGTTTCAAGAAAACTGGGATGGTTTGCCATTGTTGGTGAAATTAATCTTGCAGGGAGAGGAAGCAGTAGAAAGAGCTGCACCTTAATCAATCTAGACACCATTTATTATGACAGGAAAATGGACAGGATTGTAGAGTTGGAATCTGGGAATATAAAAAATAATTTTGGAAATGCTGGGTTTAGGTAAGTGTGCTACATCTAGGTAGAAATTTGTAGAAAGTTGGATATGGCTTTAAAGCTCAGAAATCAGATGTGATTGGAAATGGAGACTTGAGATTCATCCACAGATAAGATTAGCAGTGTTTGTCAATATGACAAACAAAGCAGACATGGGAATACCTCTGTCCCACTATATATAGTATATTTACATGGCATGTGGCATATATATGTACACATGGTAGATAATTTGAATATGTTTATTATGAACACATAGTAAAGTTTTAAAGCAGAAAAGGTAATTCACATCAGAAATGAAAGAGAAAACCCAAAACTGCAAGGCCAGTGTTGATCTGGCCTTGAAGCCAAGGGACAAAGGGAGGAATAGGCAATCTTTGGGGGGCTAAGTTATAATGTAAAGTCTCAAATCAAGGTCCTAAGCTGAGACAGAACCTTCTGTATGAAGTTGAATGCCAAGAAGAGGCTGCCATATCTGAAAGAGAATGAAGGAGATCGGTTAGCTCTGAACCAGGCTGGGGAAGAGTAAATCCTAAGAAATCAGAACCTCAAATCACCGCTGCATAGGCGTCCTTGTAATTGGTGGCCTGTGGGAACTATTCCTGCTCAGATAGAAAATATGAAGATGAAATTAAGGGACAGGAAGAACCAAGTGAAAAACTTTAATATATACCTGAAAGGAGTTTAAGGAGTTACTAAAGAGGATGGGGAAGAGAACATTGAAAAGAATAATGGTGAACTAGTTCCAATAATAAAATATGATTATGATTCTGTAGAGGAAAATGATATATCTAATCCTCAGCAGGACAAGTCAAGTAAATCTATACTGAGAAGAAAATGTGTAACTAAATTATAGACATCATGACAAGAAAAGTCTTATCTCTGAGCAACCAAGAGATAACATAGAAATGAGTCAAGCGGGGTGTGGTGGGGGGAGGAGGGAAGGGCTCCAATGGACTAGGGTAAAGGATTATGGGAGCTTTATAGGTGGGGTGGTGTGGTGACATGCACCTGAGGAGGTGCGAATCCATTCCCTTGAATCATATGCAGGAAGCCAGCGTTACCCCAATAGAGAAAAAAAAATGACAAACTGACAGCAGAGTTCTCACCAACGATGACAGAGAGAAAGAAATAGCATCTTCCAAGTGCCGAGGGGGCAGTCAAGTTAAGTGATCACTTGAGGAAAAGAAATATTTTCATAATAAAATTTACTATTGACCGCAGGCCCATCCTGAAATAATTGCTGAAGGAGGCACTTCAGTAAGAGGTATATTGAATTCCAAGAAGGAAGAGAGGCAAGAAGTAATAGTTGAACAAAGACATTTGTAAAATACAATAGTAAATCTGATAATTATTGACTAGAAAAGATGATTTAAAATATTGGGTGTTTTTTGACCTAATTTTTATAAGGTGAAATTGTATATTTTAGCAATAATATGGAAGATGGGAGACATCTTCTCAGGGGTTATTGAGATGTTCCACAGGCCTTGTGCCAGAAGAAAATGGGAAGACTGAGCGACCTTGGAGTGGGTGTGTATGTTGACATTTAAGGCTGGCACCAGCACCACCACAAAGACAGTAAGGCACAGACAGGAGAAGGAAAAAGAGGAAATTCAGTACATTCCATAGATGACAAAGAGGGAGGGTAAATGGGAAAAAATGCATAATAGAAAACAGAGTAAAATTTTAGAAATGAATTTAAATGTGGCAATCATCATAATGTAAAGTTAACTTTACCTGCCAAAATATAGGTGTTCAGAATGAACATCTAACTTTGCTATGCTGCATGTTTTCAGGAACAGGAATTTTAACAAGATTGATATGTTAGGGAGCATTTAGAGCTTAACACAAAAGTCACATTTACTTTTGTGTGGCTTTTTTCTGTTAGAAACATGGGCTGAATGCTGACCACTTCCCTGAGCTGGACCCAGCTGTGTGGAAACACACAGAATGTACACTTACATGCCTACCAACTCCTGAGGTAACCACAGGTGATGGGGGGGTCCCTTCCTCCCTTGTCTGATGATGCACCTTTCCTTCTGCTTTCAGATCATCTTCCTTCCATGACTTCAGGAGAACCACAAGCTGCAGCCCCTCTGCAGTCACTTCCATAGAAGCATCACACGTCTTTCAAGGTAAAAATGCTGAGTCAATTGTAGCATTTTTGTATTAACCTAACCGTTAAAATATATAAAACTGTGCTACTGTGTTTGAAAAAAAATCACTATGGATGGCATTTTAGTACCTCCAAACTCTTTCTCATAATCCCTGTGATTTTTTTTATTGCCCAACTGGGGACAGTGTGGTGATTTTTAAGAATGCATGTCATATGACAATAGAGTGGCTTTTACCTAAATGGCAATATGCTCTTTGAAATGGGCAGATGATAGCCAAAAGAGAGCAGGTTGCTGCACGAGTTTCAAGGTAAAAATGATGTTTGTATGAGGGTGCTGAATGAGGGTACTGATTTTTTTCTTTGTGGGAAGCAGAAATAATTGAGAATCCTGTCTATTATAGTGACAATATTTTGGTTATGGGATGATGAGAGGTTTCCCACAAGGAGGCAATAGGAAATACCATCAGGGGAAATGTCTTTTTTTTTTTTTTGCTAACTATTTTTGTTGAGGTGAAGTTTGGTTTATGTCATTGTATTTGTTTTAGGAGTTATAGTTTCAAACTTCTGCAAATGTGTGTTTTCATACCATGCCTACCAACTAAGTCCCAATAATCCCCCATCTTGCTCCATTGGGTCCCTTCTACCCCCCATTCCTACACTGCCAGCCTCTCCTTCTGCCTCGGTTTTGCAGTCAGACATCTGGGTTAGTTAGTGGTTTGGTTTTGTCTGACTCTTTGTTTTGTTTCTCTATATTCCACATACAAGTAAAAGTTTCTACTGTTTATCTTTCTCCTCATTTATTTTACTTCTTCTATAGTCCCATTTATGTTATCAGAAGTGGAGTTCATCTTTTTTTATAGCTGAGTTGATATTCCATTATGTATATATTATCACCTTTTTCTGATACACTTCTCTGCCCTTGGGCACTTAAATTGTTTCCATAACTTGGCTATTGTACATGTTGCTGCAGTGAACATAGGAGCTCATATATCCCTTCAAATTAGTGTTTCTATATTCTTGAGGTAGGTACCTAGGAGTGGAATTGTGGGTCATATGATAGATTGTCTTTGACTATTTTGAGGAACCTCTATAATGTTTTCTGTTGGGGCTGGACCAGTCTACATCCACATCAATAGTGTATGAGAGTTCTTTTTCTTCCACATCATCACTAACATTTGTTGTTCTGAACTTTTTAAAATGGGACATTCCAAGGGGGATGAAATGGTATCTCATTGTGGTTTTTTTTTTTTTTTAAAGATTTATTTATTTATACAAGAACTGGGGTACAGGCCAGATTCGTGGAAGGGTGAGAGGATTCACCAGAGACAGAGCGGGGAGCAGCACAGGCAGACGGATGAAAGACACTGCTGAGGGGAGCAGCGGGCGAGACAGGAGAGGTCTGCCGCGCCATGTAGGACCCTCGCCAGTCAGCCGGGATCGAACCCGCGCTGCAGAGGCTGCCGACAGCTTCACAGCGCTGTGCTCAACCGCCTGTGCCACCAGGGGAGGCCCTTTTATAAAGATTTATTTATTTTTATACAAGAGCTGGGGTACAGGCTAGAGGCGTGGGAGGATGAGAGGATTCACCAGAGACAGAGCAGGGAATGGAACAGGCAGAAGGACCGAAATACCCTGGTGAAGGGAGCAGCGGGAGCGCCAGGAGAGGTCTGCTGTGCCATGTGGGATTCTCATCAGCTGGGATTGAACCTGCGCTGCAGAGACTGCCGACAGCTTCACAGCGCTGTGCTCAACCCGCTGCACCACCAGAGAGGCCCTCATTGTGGTTTTAATTTGCATTTTCCTGACAAGTGATGATGAACATTTATTCATGTGCCTCTTGGTCTTCTGAATGCCTTCTTTGGAGAAGCTTTTCTGCTGTTTTTTTATTGTATTTAATTGTTATCTTTTTGTTGAGTTGTATGATTTCTTTTTTATGTTGGCTATCAACCCTTTGCTAGTTGTATGATATGCCAAGTATTTTTCCCCATTGAGTAGGGCATCTTTTGGGGCATTTTTTTTTCCTCTATCAGAAGGTTTTTTAGTTTGATGTAATCCCATTTGTATATATTTTCTTTTGCTTCTCTTGCCTTTGGAGATGAATCCCCAAAGATGTCTGTGAAGCCAAGGTTGTGAAGTATTTTGCCTATTTTTTCTTCAATGTATTTTATGTTTTTGAGTCTTAAATCCATGTCTTTAATCCATTTTGAATTAAATGGTTTAACTGTGAGTTGGTGAGTTAGTTTCATTCATTTGTAGGTGACTGTTCAGTTTTCCCAACACCATTTGTTGAAGAGATTCTCCTATCTGCAGTGTATACTCTTGGCTCCTTTGTCTTAGATTAACTGTCCATAGATATGTGGGTTTATTTCTAGGCTTTCACTACTGTTTCATTGGTCTGGGTGTCTGTTTTTTGTTCAGTAGCATAATATTTTGATTACTATAATTTTTCTTTTTTTCTTTTTTTGGTGGGACCCTTGCCGGTGGCTGGGGAATGAACCAGTGCTGCAGAGGGCTGCGGACAGCCTCACAGCCCAGCGCTCAACCACTGAGCCACCAGGGGAGGCCCTGCTATAATTTTTTAATACAGTTTGCAGTCTGGGAATGTGACACCACTTGTCCTCTTTTTTGTCAGGATTACTTTGGCTTTCCAGGGTCTTTCATGGATCTATATGAATTGGATGAAATGGATGTTTGTTCTACTTCTTTGAGGATGAAAGCTGCCTTATATCAGTTTTCATTGTATAAGTCCTTCACCTCTTTAGTTAAGTTTACTCCTAGGCATTTAATTCTCTTGTTGTAATTGTAAATGGAATTGTTTTCTTGATTTCTTTCTCCTTGAACTCATTGTGTACATATAAAAATGCAATTGATTTTTGCAAATTGATTTTGTACTCTGCCACTTTACAGAATTGGTTTGTTTCTCTTAGTTTTTTAGTGGAATCTTTAGGGACTTCATATACATTATCATGTCATCAGCAGATCATGGTAGTTTTACTTCTTCTTTCGGAGTTTGGATTCCTTTTGTATCTTTCTCTTGCCTGATTTCTCAAGCTAGAACTTCCAAGACTGTGTTGAATAATAGTGGTGGACATTCCTTGTCTTGTACCAGATCTTAAAGGAAAAACATGCCATATTTCACCTTGAGTATCATGGTGTTCGTGGGTTTGTCTTATATAACCTTTGTTATGTTGAGGAATGTCCCATCTATCTCCAATTTTTTGAGTATTTTAATCATAAGTGGATGTTGAATCTTAACATATGCTTTCTCTGCATTAATTGATATAATCATATGATTTTAATCTTTTTTTGTTGATGTGGTAAATTACATGGATTTTTTTTTTTTTTTTTGGTTGTTGAACCATTCTCTGTGTCCCTTGAATAAGTCCAATTTGGTTATGGTGTATGACCCTTGTGATATATTGTTGAATTTGATTTGCTAAGATTTTGTGGAGGATTTTTGCATCTGTGTTCAACAAGAAAATTGGCCTATAATTCTTTAATTGTGTGTGTGTGTGTGTGTGTGTGTGTGTGTGTGTAGTCTTTATTAGGTTTTAGAATCAAATTGATGTTGTCTTCCTAAAATGTGTTTGGAAGCTTTCCTTCTTTTTCAGTTTTTGGGAAGAGTTTGAAAAGGATAGGTATTAGTTCATATTTGAATGTTTGGGAGTGCATCTGTCTGGGTCATGCTCCAGTTTATTGGGAAGACTTTTGATTAATGTTTTAATTTCCTTGCTTGTAATTGGTCTGTCTGGGCTTTCTATTTCTTCCTGGTTCAGTCTTGGAAAGTTGTATATTTCTAAGAATTTCTCCATTTCATCTAGGTTATTCAATTTGCTAGCATATAGATGTTTGTAGTAATCTCTTGTGATCCTCTGTATTTCTAAAATGCCTGTCATAATTTCTCCCTTTTCATTTCTAATTCTATTTATTGACTTTTCTGCCTTTTTTTTAGTCTAGCTAGATGTTTGTGTTTTATTTATTTATTTTTAAAAAAGAGCCAGTTTTTGCTCTCGTTGATCCTTTGGACTGTCTTTTTGATTACTATTTCATTTATTTCTGCTCCTTTTTAAATTATTACCTTTCTCATACTGGCCTGTGGTTTTGTTTTTTTGCAATATCTTGAGGTGAGAAGTAAGTTTTTTTTTTATATTTAAGAGCAAGTTTATTAGAAAAGGTAAGATTTTTTAATTGAGCTCTTTCTTATTTTTTGATGTGGTTCTGTATGCTGTAAATATTCCTTTTAGTACCACTTTTGCAGTTCTGTTAGGTTGTGTCTTCATTGTTATTCATCTCTAGGCATTTTAAAATTCCTTCTTTGATTTTCTCCTTTATCTAATAGTTGTTCAGCAATGTTGTTTAATCTCCATATAATAGAGGTTTTTCCTGCTTCTTTTTTGTTGATGTCTACTTTGATACCATAGTGATCAGAGAATATACTAGATATGATTTCAGTCTTCATGAACTTATTTTATGACCCAGCATGTGCTATATCTTGGCAATTGTTCTGTGTGCATTTGAGAAGAATGTGTACTCAGCTTATTTGGAGTGTAGTGTCTTTTAGATGTCTGTTAAGCCCTTGTGGTCTGTTTCCTTGTTTATTTTCTGTTTAGTTGATCTGTCCATTGATGAAAGTGGGGTTTTGAAGTTCCCAACAATTATTGTGTTACTGCTAATGTCTAGTTTCAAATCTGAAAATAATTGCCTTATGTTTTTTGATGTTCCTTTCTTTAGTGTGGATAGATAGATAGATAGATAGATAGATAGATATTATGTCTTCATGCTATATTGATCTTTTAATCATTATATAATGCCCATTCCTTTTTCTTCTTCTTTTTTTTTTTTAGCTGGAAAGCTATTTTATCTGATATAAGTATGGCTGTCCCTGACCTCCTGCATGTCCCATTTGCTTGTAGAATTATTTTCCAAATTTTATTTGATTCTGTGTTTATCTCCTGAAGACAACAGAAATTTGGGTTTTGTTTTTTGATCCAACCAGCCATTCCGTGCCTTTTG